TTATTTGCCAACGAGTAGTACAAGTACATGCTCAAATCTGCAGAGATATTTGGAAACTTATTTGTTTGAAGATTTTCGTCGTGGGGAATTTGCAAAGATTGTCGTGGAGAGTCTCAAATTGACAATTAGGGGGTATTTGTTTTAAGAGGATTGAGGGGGAATTTTTGAGTGTAATTATTATTATTGGGTAATGAGCGTTTTGGAATTTCACAATAAACTTGTGAAATTGTGAAAAATATATATTTTTTGTTAAAAACAAAAAATTAAAAATATTTTTGGAAAATTCATGATTAGATCTTTGGAGCTCCATAAAAATTATTTTTTAACACGTTCATGATAATGGAGTTTATAACATAAGGTTTAGGAGTTCAAAATGTTTTTTTTTAATCAACAATAAATCCACGAACTTATAGTTTTTCTTTAAAAAATGATCCCTAAAAAATCCTTCCCCGATTACACTGTACAATAGCCAATCTTGGGGAGGGAAATTCTGAGTGGAGGTTATAATACTCGGTTTGTTGATCAAAAAACCAAACGAGCGTTGGGTACTAAGACAACATTTTTTAGGACCTATAATATAAAGCCTAGACCATTCCATACACTACACAATGGGCCTCATGTAGAATCATTTGTACAAAATAGGGGTCATGTCGGTCCACGTTTTGGTATAGCCCCCATATAAGTGTATACCTAGAATTAAAGTATTTGGGGTATATTAACTTGATATTACGTTTATAGCTCCTCAAAATACCCACGATAGACCCAACAATGCATAAGATATAGCGATGTCCGCCTATCTATCAGTCAGTCTGCTTTTTATACCCTCAGCCATATGGCTACAGAGGGTATATATCATTTGATACGGCCAAAACGTGCCTAGTCGAAATAACGGTTTTAGACCCTAGGTCTCTTTAGACCAAATCCGTTTTAGAACATTTGGAGTCGATCTAGCGATGTCCGTCCGTCCGTCCGTCTGTCTGTCTGGCTGGCTGGTGCGCACGATAACTCTCGAAGGGAGTATCCGATTTGGTCCAAACTTGGTACATGGTAATATTTTTGTCAAACTTAGATCAAGTTCGGAGATGGGCAATATCGATCCACTCCTTCTGGTACCTCCCCCACAAAAGTTCGAAATTTTCCAAAAATTTAGTTTTTGCACAGAAAGAGAAACGGTAATCCGATTTTGCTCCAACTTTGCAAATCTTAATATTTGCGTTAGGGCTAGGTCAAGTGTGAAAATGGACAATATCGGTCCACTCCTTCAAGTACCTCCCCCACAAATGGTCAAAATTTTGAATAATTACGTCTCTTATAAAATGTGATATAAGAGTCCGATTGTCTTCAAATTTCACACATGCCAATATTTATGTTAACCCAAGGTCTGATGTTAAGATGGAATATATCGGTTCATTTTTTGCACATAAAGAGAAACGATAATCCGATTTTTCTCAAACTTTGCAAATCTTAATATTTGCGTCAGTGCTAGGTTAAGTGTGAAAATGGATAAGATCGGTCCACTCCTTCTGGTACCTCCCCCACAAAGGGTCAATATTTTATTTTCAATAATTAAAACTCTCATACAATTGATGTAAGAGTCCGATTGTCTTCAAATTTCACACATCCCAATATTTAATGTAACCCAAGGTCTGGTGTGAAGATGGGATATATCGGTCCACTTCTTCTGGTACCTCCCCCACAAAGAATCAAAATTTTGAGTATCCACGAAGCTCATTAAACGCAAAATTAACATCCGATTCTATCCAGACTTGTGGCTTCTCAATATTTTCATCAACACGAGATCTGCCAACTTATAATTGTCATAACTTGCGAAACAAGTCGGTGACTCTTAACAACTTGCTTTATCTAAATATTTCTCTTAACCAGTATTCTGATATGAATATGTAATTTGTCGGAATTTATGATTTCGCATAAAATTGAAATTTCGCATGTTCAATTTCCTTCACATTTTGCACACACCAATATATTTTATCTGTATTAAATTAAGTATGAAAATGGAATACTTCGGTCCGCTATATCTGTTGCCTGACGCATATTTCCGAAAATGTGCACCTATCTCATATAAAGTACAAGAAGTAGTCGATATAGTCCAAATCTGTCACGTTCATAACTCAAGGCTGGGGGTATACATCTGTCGGCAAAACCGACTGATACTATTTTACTTGTTTGTAATCGATTTCAAACGAATTGAGATAGAGAGATCTAAAATTTTGTGTAAAATGAATTTTGCGTATTTTCTCGGCCATATCGGTCCATATTTTTGTATAACACCCATGTAACAACACCTCCAACCTATTCGAATTAAATCATATATTTTACTATAATTGTTTAAAATCCGGTATTTAGAGTTTGTAACGGGTTCTACTCCCAGTGGCAGAACATTATCTATGTAGGTCTACGTCTTCAGTTCTAGGGGTTCTTAATTGTCCACAGAGTTTGACATTTGGCATAGCCCTCCCATGTCCCAGTACCTTGGTATTCTGATGATTTTAGCCACTTTTTTCAGGGAAATCGTTTAAAATTGTTTATGCGGAGTTTGTAATTGGTTCTCTCTTCTGTGATAAAAGACTGCTTTAATAGCCTTACTCATAAGGTGGCACCTCCGAATACAGATCCTTTTAAGCCATATTTTTTACTCTAGAGACTAGAGAGGGTATACAGGATGAGATGAAAAAACTGCAAGCAACTTAAGTTGCTGTCATTTCTAAGCCAATCGTCCGGCAGCTGTTAAAATTATTCCAGTGACAGCTCATTATATTGTTTACAAGTGTACAAAAGCATTTGGGAGAGAATTTTCCAGATAAAAGTTATTCGTGATGGAATTCAAGCGTGATAGTGTGATTTCTTTATATATTCGGCTGGAAAACCACAAATGGCTATCGTTAGAGCACTCCAGCATTTAAATGGGAATAAATCTGTTGTGTCTCGTACCATTGCTCGTTACAGTGATACTGTTAGCGTAGCCCGATGTCAAGGAAGTGGACGGAAGAAAACGGAAACATCAGCAGAAAGTTAAGAAGCGACGTGAACAGAAAGAAAGTAGACTTAGAAGAGCTAAAGATTTGCTTCGCTTGGCCGAAAAAGGTGAATTGCCGAATTTGATTTTCTCCGATGAGAAAACATTTGTTGTCCAGCAGTCTGTAAACAAACAACATGAATGATGATCGAATTAACTTGCTAAAGAGGTCAGCTGAAAATGTGCACCTTCGGTTGGCCACCAGAACTCAAGCGCCGGGCATGGTGATGGTGCGAGCCATGCCAATAGTCGCTCTCCACTCGTATTAATCGACCGTGGCATCAGAATAAATGCCGAATATTATCGCGAAAATATTCTGGATGGTGTTTAAAACCTTGGGCACGCCAACATTTTGGCTGCAGAACTTGGACATTACAACCATCGCACTCAGTACGCGCCACCCAAGAATGGTTACAAAATGAGGTTCCTCGCTTCATTTTCAACCCATAATGGCCACCAAAATCTCCGGGTACCAATCCGTTGGATTATTGTGTCTAGAGTATTTTGGAAAGCAAGGTTGGCACTAAAAAATACCGAAGTGTCGATCATCTCAAGCAAGCGCTTTGCCGGGAATGAGCCAAAATACCACAGAGCATCATTCGGGCAGCGTGTGACGGTTTCATTGACCGTTTGAAGGCCATAATTCGTGTCAAAGGTGACCAATTCGAAAAAATCCAAACTTATTCTGAAATTTGATACAATTTCCGATATTTTTTGCTGTTAACCAATAACATTAAAAAAATGTAAAAATTATGGCGTTTGACTTTGTTGCAGTTTTTTTTATCTCACCCTGTATATCTGCGAACCCCTTCTGGTACCTCAACCACAAAGGGTCACAATTTTCAAACGATTCTTTACAACTTTCTATAACTAAAAATTTCTCTCAAATAGAAAGCTGATAACAAAAACAACGTTTTAAGAAATTCTTTTCCCAAAAAGTGGAAAGGTGGTTTATTTTAAGATTTTTTTTTCATGGCCATAGTCATGGATTTTCAAAAAATGTTTTCCGATATGTATTATCGCGGCATTTCGGAAAAAAATTATTTGAAAATCCATGACTATGGCCATGAAAAAAAAATCTTAAAATAAACCACGTTTCTAGTTTTTGGGAAAAGAATTTCTTTAAACGTTGTTTTTGAATAATGTGCTTTTACGGAATAGTATGTTCGAAATTGTTCGATGATTTGTAAAAAGTTTGTTTTCTTTAAAAAATTTGAAATTTAATTTACAATCGTTAAAATTCTGAAATTAATTTCATAAAAAAAAAAAACTATCCGCAATACTTATGACCATCTGTGATACCTCGAATTGATTTAGTTTTGCGCAAAAAAATTATACAAACTGGACAAATGTTACACTCCAATGGCGCAAATGGCTGTGATTTATGATGGTGGAGCATAAACACAACAACAACACCAATAACAATAACAACAGCAATAACTAGTTGTTGGTTTCGAGCCATAAATGTCATTGAACAAAAAATATGATTCCTCTATGTGCCCTCCCCCAAAACACCTAAATATTTCTATGCTACACAAATAAAAACAAAAATATATTTTGAAAAAAAAAATTTTTTTTCCAAAATAAAAGCAAAGAAAATCCAACCAAACCCTCACAACATTTATAAAGATTTATCGAAAGGCAAGTGAGCGAAGAGGAAAATTGCCCATAAAACTTGTCATATTAGAAACGGGTGGCCATATGTCGCCCAGAAAAGAAAATACTCATTTCAACATTTCTTTTGCAATGCCTCAATAATATTATTTGAACATTCCATTAGTAGTTTGTATTAGTAGCAACACTAGTCCATATAATATTTCCTTATTGAATCAAATAATAAATATTTATTTTGTTATATATTTGAGTGTGTGTGTGTGTGCATTTGTTATCTAATATTATTTCCTTTTCTCTTTTCCTTCGCTTCCATGTCATTTTGCTGTGTGCTGTGCTGTCCGGCAACCCAAAGTCAATGGAGACATGAATCATCAGGCATCAACGTGTGGCAAGATCCTGATATTCCTTTCGGTGTGTCTGGTCATTTTGACGTTGCCCTTCAGTTTGTTTGTGTGTTTTAAGGTAAATATGAACATTTATTGTCAAATGAAAAAAAAAAAATATTTATAAACGCCTTCGCAAGGAGTGTAGTTGGCTTAGACGACATTGCAGTATGCTTCATCATAACACCAGATATCTTATGGAATAAAAAAGTCATTCTTTAGTTCTAGCAGCTAATTCTTAGCTCTAGCAAAATTACGATAAGGGTCATCGTATTAAGATACGTTCGATAAGTGTTCTGTCTTTCCGATATTTTCCGATATACCCTCAGATTAATATTGAAATTAATAGAACGTCCGTTATGTATTTCATCTAAAAGTTCTATTGAAGCACCTTTGTATAAATATTCTTGTAATTAACTATTCAGTTCGGGCAATCACAAAAATCATAAACTAATCACTACAAATAATTGACAATACTATAAATGACTGTCAGCGCGTTAATATAAAATCTGAAAAATAAGATCCGAATAAAAATTCCCCGATTTAAAAAAAATTTCAAAAAATCACAATTTGAATAAACCTTTTTAAAAAATCGATTATTCGAATAAAAATTATTCAAAACTCACTTACACTTGTATACCCTCCAAAATTTGGCATGAATTTGTCAATTTTCAAAAAAATAAAATCCGTTAAAAATTCTGTTAAAATCTTAAAAATACCGAATGTAGCCGTTATATTAGGGCCTATACGACGACGTAGACCTGCATGGACAACTTTTGTCATAAGCTATTAGAATATTCAAATGCGAAACTTGAAAAAAACTGAATAATGTAGCTAAAATCATCAAAATACCGAATATCGATAGGTACCGTTATATGAAGGCTATACAAAGACGTGGATCTGTATAGACAATTTTCTGTAATAGGCTGTAGTATCAATTACGAACTTCAAATACCAAATTTGAAACAATTCCGGTGGATAATGTCGCTTAAATCAACAAAGTACCAAATATCGGGAGGTACCGTTATATGGGAGCTGTACGAAGACGTGGATCTCTATAGACAATTTTCTGTCTTAGACTGTAGTATCCATTTCGAACTTCAAGTGCCAAATTTGAAATAATTTCTGTGAATGTTGTCGCTAAAATAATCAAAATACTGATTACCGAGAGGAACCGTTATATGGGGGCTATACCAAAACCGTAGACCTATATGGCCCATTTTCAATACCAAAAGTCCTGCAGACATAGTTCACATTTGAGTAAAGATTTATCAACCTACTTCATTTTGTTCGGAAGCTAGAGTGATTTCCACAGACGGAGGGAAATCCGTAAATCGACATAGGATTTTATGCTGATCAAGAATACATATTCTTTGTGGGGTCTAAAATATATATTCCATACTATGGTGGAGGGTATAAAAATTAAAAAGCGTAATCCGAAATCAAACATTATTTTAACATTTTCAATAAAATTAAAAAAAAAATCTCGAATAAAAATACTTAAAAGTTCCTCTATTCGAATTTTTTCTAAAAATTTTAGGAAAGTATATGATTTGTAAAAAATATCTGAAGGCTCTGAAGTCTTTCATATGAAAAACCATAATAACATCACGATTTAAATAAATGTTCTTAAAATATATCGGATACAAATCAAAATCGTTAAAAAATGCACGATTTAAAAATATTCTTGAAAATTATGATTGGAATAAAAAAAATGAAAGTCGACCATTCCAAAAATGATGAAAAAGTAGACAATACAAAAAAAAAAAAAAAAAAAAAAATCTGTAAAAGTGGTAATTCGGCTAAAAATTTTATAAATCGCGTATAAACTTAAAAAAAATTAAAAACTTCCACGATTCGGAAACAATCATAAAAATTTGAAGATTTGGGAAAAATACTTAAATCACGGCTCGAATAGTTTTTTACATTCGTTTTAAATAAATATTCTGATTGGATCCAAAATTGGAAAAAATAAATATTCGCTATTGGAATAAACATTCAAAGTTTGGAAAAAATCAGGAGACCACTATTTATTTTTAAGAAATTCAGTATTCGAAAAGCCATGAAAATCCAAAAAAATTTGAAATCCTGAACCACAAATTTGGATGAATGTCCAACGAAGAACAAAATGCTGAATTACAGCAAATTCGGAACACAATCGTGGTCGGGATGCCTGGAGAGTTGTAATTTTTGCGGTTCCAACTTCAGGGAGCATATCATAATTGACATTTGTAGAACAGTTGAAAACGTTTTGTCGTGTCCCTTTATGTTTGTGGTGTTTGCCCCCATGTCATTAATTTACTTGGTCCGTCTGTGTCCTTAGTGATACCACTTTGAAAAACACATAGAGTTGTAGGGTACTTCTCAAGGAGTAGTTGGACTTCTCAATAATTTTTATACTTTACTTTATCCATATATTCGGTTTATAACTGTAGACTTTTCCACCCAAGAGTTATATTCCTGTAGTCATCAAAAATATGCCATTCAAGCAGAATATGTGTTCAAACATAACACTTGTATATAGATTTATGTTTGAAAAGCCCTCATGACAAGTGTTCAATACACAAGTATGTTCATACAATACATGTCTAGTAGATACGGTTAATACCTGCACATTGAGGTGTATTGAATGTGATTAAAGTTTTTTTTTCTTCATTAAAAAAATGATTTTAGCTATTAGTCATAATAAAACTGGAGTATATACAATGTGTCATTCCGTTTGTCACACCTCGAAATATTTGTTTGAAAAGCAAGAAAGAAAATATTCTTTACCAGCATAGAATTTAATATGTCTGTCCGTTTTTTAAAAACTAATACCGAATATCGGAAGGTACCTTTATATGGCGGCCATACCAAAACGTGGACCAATATATCACATTTTCAATACGAATTATTCTAGACACAATGCAAAAATAACACAATGCGTAAATAATGCGGGCTGTATCGTGATTTCAACAGACAGACGAACATTGTTAAATCGACTTAAAATTTTATGCTGATCATGATATATATTTACTTTATGGGGTCTACGACGAATATTTAGTTATGTTAAAAACAGAATGACAAATTTAATTTACGCTCCTTTTTAAGGTGGAGAGTATAAGAACAAGCAATGAAGAACGCCTCTACCTAAATTAAAAAAAAAATCAAAATTTCTAATATTATGACTAGATATAAAGCGAACTATTTCGTTCCTCTTTTCCGGGTTCCTCTTGAAGAGGTTGAAGGTATATATAAGAATTTTCAATAATTGTAACACTCACACAGTGAGAAATAATTAATAGTTTTTAACTTGGAATTTCCCTATACTTACTAAAATAATAAAAAAAACTGCTGGACTTTTCTCAAACGGTTGAAAAAATCGTTAGTTAAAAATGTATTGTCTACAGCTAACTACAAATTGGTTGGAATGTCATCTGGTATTTAACCAGTAACCAGTAAGTAACCACAACGGAAAGAAACCACCAAAAAGCCGAATATCGGAGGTCAGATATACAGGGTGATATACAAAAAACTGCAACAAAGTCAAACGCCATAATTTTTACATTTTTTAAAATTTTATTGAATGAAAGCAAAAAATGCCGGAAATAACTTCAAATTTCAAAGTTTAGATTTGTTCGAATCGGTCCCCTTTGGCACGAATTATGGCCTTCAATCAGCCAATGAAACCACCACACGCGGCCCTAATATTGCTCTGAGGTGTTTTGGCCCACTCCCGGCGAAGCGCTTTCCTGAGGTGATCGACACTTAGGTATTTTTTTAGTGTCAACCTTGCTTTCCAAAATACTCCAGACATAAGAGTTCAACGGATTGGTATCCGGAAATTTTGGTGGCCGTTGTGCGCTGGAAAAGAAGCGAGGAGCCTAATTTTGTAACCATTTTTGGGTGGCGCGTGCTGAGTGCAATGGTGCTGAGTCCTGTTGGAATGTCCAAGGTCTGCGGCCAAAATGTTTGCGTGCCCAAGTCTTTAATGCACACTTCAAAATGTTTTCGCGATTTCGGCATTTATACTGTTATAGCGGCCCACACCATCACCATGGCCGGCGCTTGAGTTCTGGTGGCTAACCGAAGGTGCACATTTTCATCTGACCTCTTTGGCAAGTATACACGATCATTTTGTTTGTTTACAAACTGCAGGACAAGGAATGTTTTCTCATCGGAGGAAACCGAATTCGGCAGTTCACCACTTTCGGCCAAGCGAAGCAACTCTTTTGAGTTTATTTTCTTTCTGTTGCGGTGTAAGTTCTTGCACTTTTTGGAATTTCAATGGCTTTTCCCCGAGTTCAATTTTCCATATTTGCCGAATGGGATATTGCGATATGTTCAGCTCACGAGCCATTTTTCGGCCACTGCGATGCGGGATTCGATCAAGTCGCTTCTTTACTTTTCGCACCATTTCTGCTGATGTTGCTGTTTTCTTCCGTCCACAAAAGATTTATTCACATTTAAATGCTGGAGTGCTCTAACGATAGCCACTTGTGGTTTTCCAGCCAAATATAAATCACACTATCACGCTTGAGTTCCATCACGAATATTTTTTTTTCTGGAAAATTCTCACCAAAATGCTTTTGTACGCTTGTAAACAATTTAATGAGCTGTCACCGGAATAATTTTAACAGCTGTCGGACGAGTGGCTTGTAAATAACAGCAGTCTGAAGCTGGTTGCAGTTTTTTCATCTCGCCCTGTATTTGTTTTTTACTTTACAAAAAAATGGAGTTCGAATAAATGACGATTCTTTAAGAATTTTTTTTAAAAAAATTGGTTTTTAAAATAAAGAAAATTTAAATAATTTTCGGGTTTTTGGAAATAATTTCCAAATTTATTTCCAAGCTTAAATAAATTGTGGAGTATTTTTCAAAATTATTCCGCTTTGCTAACTAAATGGGATGATGGGCCCTATGCACAAATTTAGTAGCATTAGTTTTGATGAATAGTTAGATGTCCCTAAGAGCAGCAACATTTGGTAGAATTCGCTATTCAGTACCTAAAAATGGTCTTAGAGCCTCAAGAAAACACAATTTTTCGTTTTAAATTTCTATTTCTATATAAGTATCGCATTTTTTATCCCCGATTTATTTCCTAGAAATAACAAACTGGATGAACTCATATGCAATCATTTATAACAAATTAGACATGGCGATTATTATACCCTACAACACTATGTGTTGGGGTTATTATAAGTTTGATTGGGCCAAAAATTATGTAACACAACGAAATATTGGTTTTCCATATAGGAAAGTATATATGGATCTTCCTATCTCGCCGAGCTGGGTCGATCTAGCTATGTATGTCCGTCCGTCCATCTGTCCGTCTGTCCATGTTAATTTGTAATCACTCTACAGATCGCAATTATGGTCCGATCTTCACGAAATTTAGAATGGAGATGGGGCTAGGGTCAGAATAGAACTCTCCTTCTTTTGGAGATGATTGCATAATATTTAGGTTGAAATGGACCAAAAACTGAAAAAATCCGATCCACACGAAAATTTTCACAAGGGTACGGTTGGGCTCAGAAGGGCTAGGCCTATGTTTTCAAAGATGTCCGCAATATATTAAGGGTTGAAATGAACCAACAACAAAAAATTTTCCTGATTTTGCAGCCGTTATAAAGGTCACAAATAGAAACCAAAGGACACGAAATCTCGCATAAAGTTAGAGTTTAGGACAGCGGGTACAATTTTGTGTAAAAAAATACTAGCATTACAAAAAGAAAAAACAAAAATATTTTTCCGATCACACAATTGAAGCCAATCGACATGCCTGAGAAAAGAGTTAAAGACAGTGAAGGATTCTAGCATTTTGGATGGAATACGGACCAAAACAAATAACAGCATGACGGAGTGTTAAAATATGGGGCAAATGTCCCTGGTCAGGTCAGTGCTCCGTGACACAATTTAAATAGCGAAATCTTCCAAAATCGATCTGTATATAAGGGGGCTTTTAACTTATTGTAGTGTTGTAGGGTATCACATGGTCGGCCCCGCACGACCATAGAATTTGCATACTTGTTTTTTTAACTATATTTAATTAAGCTGTACCCTTATATTGAGTATACAGTTGGGGACAAAAGCGATAACGTTTCCTGAACCCTTGTTTTGAAAGGAGATATTTTATCGAAGTTAAAAAACATCAATTATTCGTAATTAAATACAATTTGTATTGTGAGTTTTAACCCTTTCAGTGTTTTTGTCAAATATATTTGACATTTAAAAGTACTCTCTTTCTTTGCCATTTTTTGTTTTTCTTACGAACCGTTATTTTTGATATTTTTTAATAACACACGTTCGCTATTTAAAAATATTGCAGTTCTATTCTATTAGTTTCGTTTTCGAATTTCTGAGCACATTTTAGTAAATTAGTACGGAATTTCAGATTTTTATCTCGACAAAAATTTTCATTGACACTGAAAGGGTTAAGAGGTCTAAGCTAAATAAAAATATTATATTCTGTCAATTTAACTCACCGACTTTTCGAATCATAAACAAATGGTTTTGAGTATAACATTCTGAAGCTTCTTAGTGTAATTTTCCTAAAGAATTTCCCAATTGTAATAACTTTTTAAACTGGACTCCTTATTAATTTTACTAAAAATATCGTTCCACCCCAAAATCAATATAAATACCAACTTGTTTAAATTTGTGAACACACCAAGCTGGTATATTGTTCATATGTACATACATACAACATATGTATGTAAGAACCTATCTTTGACATAAGGACTCAGGTGGTCATGGTGTGGCATACCCCAATGTATATTTGTACAATATTCCATGTAAACAAGAATTGTTTTGCTTTTGTCCTTCCCACTTTTTTGTCTCCTTTTTCTTTTTTGCAGGTGGTCCAGGAATATGAACGTGCTGTTATCTTTCGTTTAGGTCGTTTGATGCAGGGCGGTGCCAAAGGACCAGGTATGTACAAAAAAATCAAATCAAATAGTAGAGCAGTAGTTTTTCTTCCATTTCAACTATTCCATTGTGTTATTGAGTAATAAGATTTTATGGATTTAAAAGCTTACAAATTAAATCTTAATAATTTCATTTATCTGCCATTTCTTTCTTCCTTCGTCGTCATCGGCGTTTTTAGGAATATTTTTCATCCTGCCATGTATAGACTCATATGCCAGAGTGGATTTACGTACAAGGACATATGATGTGCCACCACAGGAGGTAAGTTCGAAATGAGGAGATGTGTGTTTGTGTATGATTTGCATGTGTGGAGAGAGCGTTTGATGGAGTTGTGTTTTTCAAAAGGGATTTAAGGATATCAGCATATCAAAGGCTAGTTAATATAAATTAATATATTGCAAGTTATTGGAAAATTATTTTATGGGCAAATGTGACTGAAGCCTTTGTGAGGACATCAGTTGGATGGAGTTTAAAGTTAGTTAGTAGTGATAAATATGTAAAGAGGATAAATGCTAAAAGAAATGAGTAATAAGAACTATTTATGATGATGATGATTGATTTTTCACTTTAATACCCAACGACCAGACAACACGGCGACCTGGAAATACGCCGTGAGGAAATTATTAATAGAAAGTTATGCATGATTATCACTCTTTATGTACAACTAGCTGAACCCGGGGCAATATCATTCGCAAATTAAATTTTGTGCCAAATTTCGTTATAGATTCCAAATTTCATTGAAATTGTAGAATACATAAAATGACCAAAAATAAGCAATATCCGAATTAGAGAAGATTTCAATATAATTTGGAAAATTGTTTTTTGTTCCAAATACCGTTACTGATTCCGATTGCATTGGAATCGGACATATATATCGTGTTTGGTCCATCAAATATACAAACTCGGAGTTATATAAAAATCTGTACCGATGTCTATATAATTTGGCAAATAAGTTTTTCTGCCAAATTCCGTTGAATATCCCAAATTTCATTGAACTGGAGATACATATTGTGTTTGGTGTATTATATACATAAAATTGGCAGAAAATATATATGGGAGCTATAACCAAACCTCAACCGATTTCCATATAATTTTGTAAATACATTTTTGTACTGAATCCCGCAACGCCTTCCAATCTTCATTGAAATATATAATCGGGCAAAAAATATATGGGGGATATATCCAAATCTGACCCGATTTCTATATAATTTAATACATTTATTTTTATACCAAATTCCGTTACACAATTCAAATTTGAAGACTCTATCTATAACTGGTCAACAGATATATGCATACAAATACAAAACATATGCTATATCTCCAGTTCCAAGAGGAATTTTAAGAATTTTTATGGCCAATGTTACTTTCAAGTGATGCTATAGTATATGTGGACATTATCAGGAAATTCTGTTCAGCGGATTTTGAGTCTATAAATTACAAAAAAATAAACAAACAATCAAACGTACAAACATTCTCCTCTTTTATAGATATAGATTTCGGAACCTCATATTTTTAGAGTACTTAATATACTATGGCCCGTTGTTATATCTTTCCTTTATAGTCCACTTTTGTTATTCCTTACTCTTGGAAAAGTGAAGGATAAAGTCCGATTTGCCTTTTATTGTGCACCAAACGTGTAATATCAGCCCGAATTGTATGGAATTTTGCATATACACCCAAATTAGGCCTGAAAATATGTTCAGATATAAATCGGTTCAGATATAGCTTTAGCTCCCATATATGTTGTTCATCCGATTTGTTATTTTTGTCCACCGCCGCCGTAATATGCACTCTGCAACAGCAATATTTGGGGCAATATATCAAATACAGCTTAGAAATATATTTGCTAAATTTTATCGAGATCGGTTCAGATTTGGATATAGCTCCCATACATAACTTCGTCCGATTTACCTTTTATTGTGCACCAAACGTCTAATATTTGTCCAAATAGGATGGAATTTGGAACTTACGACCGAATTGAGTCTAGAAGCTAGTATGTCAAATTTGGTAAAGATCGGTACAGATATAGCTATAGCTTCCATATATACAGTTTATTGTTACTCCGTAACAACGATATTCATTGAAATATATCAAATACAGCTCAGAAATATCTTTGCCAAATTTTATCGAGATCGGTTCAGATTTGGATATAGCTCCCATATATATCTTTATCCGATTTCAAATTAATTGTGCACCAAATGGGCAATACAATTCCGAATTTAAAAGATACAAATGCTTTATAATTTAAAGTTCAAAGGACTAAATACTTTGAACTTTAAATTATAATTATAATCATAGCGTGTATGATTGAATTCTCCCATAAAAAACTTTTAATTGTTATGAGGAGCTCTACTAAATTAGCAAAGTGGTGTAGGGTATCACAAAGTCGGCCCCGCCCGACTTTAAGACTTTCTTTACTGGTTTCATAAGGCTTGAGTTTACACTTCGTACTTTTAGCTTGGTAAAAGTACTTTTTTTTTCAAATTATGCATGAAAGCACCTCGAGGATGTTACCCTGACCTTCTGACGAAAAGTACTAAATGTTACAAAATATTATTATTGTTCAGTAGTTATGCTTGGTTGCCGTTCATTTCGAAGAGGGATGAGATATGACTGAATATTTAAACCTTTGTTCTTAAATGGTACGGAAAGTGTTAAAAAGTAAAAAAATGTGTCAAACTGTATTAGACGTATTTACTGCATATTCGTACTTTAAGATTAGGGCGATAACTTAAATGTTGTTCACAGGGATTAATCTTTGTGTAGAAAGGTATGTAGGATCACAATTTGTCAGGGCTGTCATAGAAACCAATTTTGTCACTATTGGTTTTAAAAACGACAAGAGAAAATGCTTTGGTGTCATGAAAATCAATGTTATTGGTTTTATTTTCGAATTACAATTTTATCGGTTTTGGTTGTCATAGAAGCCAATGTTATTGGTTTTGTTATTGGAAATAAACCAAGTTGCTTAGAGCTGTCACTTTTCATTTGCTTTGGATTTTTTAAACATTTTTTGAAGGATATTCAAAGGACTAAATATGTATATTTTTTAAACAATTTTTAAAGGATATTCAAAGGACTAAAAATGTGGATTTTTTAAACAATTTTTAAAGGATATCCAAAGGACTAAAACTGTGGATTTTTTAAACAATTTTTAGAGGATATTTAAACGTGGATTTTTAAAGATTTTTTAAAGGATATTTAAAGGACCATAGACGTGGATTTTTAAAGATTTTTTAAAGGATATTTAAAGGACAATAAATGTGGATTTTTAAAGATTTTTTAAAGGATATTTAAGGACCATAAACGTGAATTTTTAAAGATTTTTTAAAGGATATTTAAGGACCATAAACGTGAATTTTTAAAGATTTTTTAAAGGATATTTAAAGGACGTTCTTCGTCCAACAACACAAAAACTACCACTGCTGATGCCATCTTACTTTATTTATAGCGACTTATTCCTTTTTTTATTTACTTTACTTTTACTGATATTTCAATGACAAATAAACAAATAACACATGTAAGCAACAACAGCTCTTTCGAACATTGGTTTTATTTACATTCGAAATTGACAAAACCAACTTGGTTTCATGACACCAAATGAAACCAACATTGGTTTACAAAAACAACAATAAGCAAAACCGACATGGTTTCTGTGACATCCCTGTGTGTACTGAATTGAAATAAACCCAGAGTTTTGAAGCTTCGTAATTTAGGAGTCAGAAATGCCGAAAAGGAACAACAAAAACGTCCACAATCTACTTTTTTATAGCATATTCAATATCAGCTCCTCTTAACCACAGAAATTAACAGTGACATCCATAGCAAATTTGAGGACTTCATCCAATACCAAATATAGCCCCACTTGGAAGTTTTTGAACAATTATAGTTCATATATCCAAAACCACCTCCATATCTCAATTCCAGATATCAACAGCAAAATTTCGGGATTCCAGCTCTATTACTTTACCCATTACCAAATTTAGCCCAACTTAGAACTTTTCGAACAATAATAGTACACATTTTCAAAACCACCTCCGTATCTCAATTGCAGGTACAAAAAAATTTGAGGATTGTACCCAATACAAAATTTAGTACCATTAAGTACGTTTTGTTCTTTTATTGTACACATTTCCAAAAATACCTCTATAAGTTCAGGATACACATTAAAAGCGACGCTAATACCAAATTTCAGGTTTCAAACACTATCCGCTCACTTAATACCAAATTCTACCAAATATAGTAGTGCACGTTTCCAAAACTATCTCTTGATAACAAACTTACCACCCATGGGGACCCCAATACAAAATTTCAGCTTCATCCGTTCACCCTAAAGCTTCAGTTCACAAATTTGGTAGACATTTCCGAAAACGCCTTCATATATCATATTTATGGGTATAGACTTCTGAAATTTGGCATAGATGTCACTTCTGGCGTATCATGATATTTGCAATTTTGTACCGAAAGGGCGGTCAAAAGCACTTAATCGTAAAAAGTATCAACAACTGATTTCTATGAAAATTTAAATAATCTTACGTTTTAGATTTGCATAAAGGAGATTTGTGGAAAACCGCCTCGCTGTTACATTTTTTAAAAACATATACTATATACCAAAATATATATAATATATACTGCAGCCTCTTGTTTTGAACTGAATTAGCAAGTTTTAAATTAAATTAGTAAATTACAATAAATTATTTTGATTTTTTATACCCTACAACACTATGTGTTGGGGGTATTATAAGTTTGATTGGGCCAAAAATTATGTAACACCTCGAAATATTGGTTTCCCACATATGAAAGTATGTATGGATCTTCCTATCTCGCCGAGCGGAGTCGATCTAGCTATGTATGTCCGTCCGTCCGTCTGTCCATGTTAATTTGTAATCAAGCTACAGGTCGTAATTATGGCCCGATCCTCACGAATTTTGAAAATTGATGTGGGGTTAGGGTCAGAATAGAACCCTATTATTTTCGAAGATGATTGCAAAATGTTTAGGGGTTGAAATGGACCAAAAACAGAACATTTTCCTGATTTTGCAGTTGCTCTATAGCCCATAATTATGAACCAATCGACGCGTAAATTTACATGAAGTTAGAGTTTAGGACTGGCAAAAGCCTACTAATTTGGGCGGTCATCGGGCAATATTTAGCGGGTAAAATATAGCCTAACTTTTATGTAAGAAAATAGGAAAATTTCCACTAAAAGGCGAATATTTTTAACCCCAGTTAAATCACAAATACATTGAAAGATCACTCCTGACCATTAAATTGATGCTGATAACAAAGAAATCGGATATATAGCAAAATATGAACAATATATATGTAAAACAAATAGATCTTATATATTCTGCTTATAAGTCAAGAACCGCTGGTCCGATTTTCACAATTCTCCTTAATTCGGGATGGTCTCTGGCCAGAAAAGGAAAGAAGTTTTAGATGAGTATTGGATTATATTTAACTATAGAATGGACCAGAATGTTTGTGTGAAATTGTTTTAAATAAAACACGACGGAGTGCTTAATATTTTCCAAAATGGATTTGGATATAAGGAGACTTCGAACATATTGTAGTGTTGTAGGGTATCATATGGTCGGCCCCGCACGACTATAGCATTTGCTTACTTGTTTCAATTTGACTTATAATATTGAAGTGTATATTTTGTAATATTTGTTCACCTTACAACACAGGTTGGGGTTATTATATACAGATTGCAATTATCGTCCAATCCTCACGAAATTTTTCACAATGCTAGGTTTGGGCTCAGAAGGGATAGGCCTTTTATTTTCAAAGATGTCCGCAATATATTTAGGGGTTGAAATGGACCAACAATTAAAAAATACTACTGATTGTGAGGCCGTTAAAAAGGACACAAATAGAAACAAGAGGACACGAAATCTCGCATGAAGTTCGAGTTAAGGACAGCGGGTAGAATGGACCACTACTTTTGTGTGGAAAATTACCAACATTACTTACAGGCGATATCCGAAATACACAAAAGGCGAACTTCTGGCTTTTTTTGCTGATTTCGTTGACGAATATGGCCAAATATCGTAGATATACAGAGGGGCCTCTTACTTTCGCAAAATATTTCGGGGTTCAAATTAACCAAAAGCAGAAAAAAATTCCTGATTACACAATTGAATCCAATCGTCTGAGAAGAGAGTTAAAGACAAAGAAGAAGTCTAGCCTTTTGGATGACCATTGGATTATATTTAGCTGTAAAATGGACCACACACCTAAAAGCACGACGGTGTGCGTAAATATTGGTCAAATGTCCCTGGTGACATAATTTCAAAAGCGAAATCTTTCAAAATGGATTTGGACATAAGGGGGCTTCTAACATATTCTAGTGTTGTAGGGTATCACATGGTCGGCCCCGCACGACTATAGGCTTTGCTTACTTGTTTTTTTATATAATAAATGGGCTTTTTACAGCAGTTCAAGCGAAGATGACTTTTCATAGTTCATATACGGTTAAGAAAAATATATATCGGAAAATAAAATTATATAAGGGACCGGATCATACGACTCCATAAATATAGAGCTTTTTTTGGAAATTGCTGCAGTAACAAAAACAATGTTTATTATCCTGTACTCATTTTTAACACGATAAAGTAAAGTTCCAACACATATCAATAAGGGATCCCAATTTGGTCTCCTATTAATATAAGTCATCTTAAAGTAATTCTTCTTGCATATGCTAATACAATCAATTTCAGGTTATCTCAATCAAAGTCTATCATTCCATCCTCATTCTTCTTTGTCAGATATTTTGTTTCTTCCATTTATATTAAAAAATTCGACTTTCTTGAAAATTTTTCTCCTTGAAAGCATTTTCCATTTGATTGCATTTAAAACGAAATTGTTTCTTTCGCTCAAAAGGAAAATAACTTTTACTTTATCAACATTACGCATTCCTGATAGCATAGATCCCTGTTTTAAGGAAACTGCAATGAAGCAAAAAAGAAAAGTAGGAGAAGGAGAACACATTTTTCTATCTTCATCTTATTACTTTTTCAATAGAAAGTTATTTTACCATTGTTTATGGCATTTTGTTGATTCCTGATTTTCTGTTTCGTTCATTTCATTCACCATTCATTCTGGCTGGCTTTGTTAACTTTGCTTCTATATTTACCTGAGATTTCTTTCTTTCTTTTTTTGCTAAACTTTTTTCCACTTTCTGTCTTCCAGGTCTTAACAAAGGACAGTGTTACTGTGTCAGTGGATGCCGTCGTCTATTATCGGGTTTCGAATGCAACAGTCTCCATAGCAAATGTGGAAAATGCACATCATTCGACAAGGCTGCTGGCGCAAACCACTCTGCGAAACACAATGGGCACCCAACACTTGCACGAGATTCTCAGTGAGCGTATGACAATTTCCGACACCATGCAGGTGAGTGAGTAGCTGGGAATAATGTGAATATATACGGCTCTATGGTGTTGCTGCTGCTTCTGCTGTTGTTGTTTTTTTTTGGTATTGTTTCGGTTGCAGTATGTGTTGCGAGTACTACTTAGGGTTCAGCCAGGTGTAGCATGAATAGGATAAAATATATGCCAGCTAAGCTTATTTACCAGTGCCAGCCAAAGTGTATTATTTGGAGCAGAATGTGAATACATGTTACACGCCGATATGTTGCTGCAACGTCAACAACAGCAACAAGAACAATAGCACCAACTTCACACTTTACCGTCAGGACAATAAGAAAATGATGACGACATAAATACGACAATATTTATTTTCACCAAGCTAAGCATCCAAACCAAATGTCAGAGTACTTGTTAATATGAATAAATGCATAAGGTATATGAGATATTTTGGGTAAAAAATTCTTATGGTTTGGAGTTCCATGATGTGGCAACCGAAATAACGGGTTTATAACCCACACTTATTTTAGAGTCGATCTGGCTATGCTTCGAATTTTTTTTTTGATCGTAATGTTGCTCTCACTCTTAGACGGGCATTACTGATCCGCTCGTTATAAAATTCTCTACACAAAACTGAATAAGGCCTGAGTCTCCTATATATATCCTCGAAGTTTTCATGTCTTAATAATTATGCCAAAATAAAAGGTTTTAATGCAAACTTAAAACCTATTGATACATTTGCTGCAGAGTCAAGTTCAACTCTAGGTATATTTCCCGATTTTTTTTATACCCTCCACCATACTATTGAGGGTATATTAACTTTGTCACTCCGTTTGTATCTCCTCGAAATACTCATGTCAGACCTAATAAAGTATATATATTCTTGATCAGCGTAAAATTCTAAGTCGATTTAGCGATGTCCGTCTGTCTGTTTCTTTGTCTGTCCGTCTGTTGTGATCAAGCTATCTTTCGAACGAATTGAGATAGAAGGCTAAAATTTTGCACACTTGTTTATTTTTCCAGTAGTAGTTCGTGAATGGGCCATGAAGGTCCACGTTTTCATATAGCCCCCATATAACGGTACCTCCCGATATTCGGTATTTTGATGATTTTAGCGACATTATTCACCGGAATTGTTTCAAATTTGGTATTTGAATTTCGAAATGGATACTATAGCCTATGACAGTAAATTGTCTGTGCAGGTCCACGTCTTCGTATAGCCCCCATATAACGATACCTCCCAAAATTAGGTATTTTGATGATTCTAGCGTCATTATTAACGGAATTGTTTCAAATTACGTATTTGGCGTTCGTGATGGATGCTATAGCCTGTGACAGAAAATTGTCTATGCTGGTCCAGGTCTTCGCACAGCTCCGATATAACGGTACCTCCCTATATACGATATTTTGATGATTTTAGCTACATTATTCACCGTTTATTTCAAGTTTTGAATTTGAATATTGTAATGGCTTATGACAAACAAGGCCTATGTAGGTGAACGTCGTATAGACCCCAATATAACGGCTATATTCGGTATCTTTAAAATTTTAACAGAAATTTTTAAGGACTTTATTTTTTGAAAATTTCCAATGGTGGAGGGTATTCAAAGTTCGGCCCGGCCGGACTTGCTGCTTTTTAACTTGTTAAAGTAAGTAAACTATAAATAGGTGAATGCAGACAACTAAAACATTGATTAATTTTATAAATTTTTTGATGTTACTGGGGAGGGATGCCCTGCTAATTCATGTGATCGCAGGTATTAATATATGGCTGCTACTGTTTTAAATCTAAACCCGATTACCAAAAAAAAAAAAAAAAAATCAATAGGGTTTTTACTTAGGCCTGTTTTTTTTTTTTTTTTTTTTGTTTGACGAACATCAAATACTTTTCGATCTGAGAACTTCGTGACAAAAACATATGCATCAAAATTATACCAAACAACAAGTCTTACACAAGGCGATATAAGTCCCTTTTCTCGTAGGGAGTATCCGATTTAGTCCCATCTTAATATTACTATCAAACTTAGATCGAGTTCGGAGATGGGCAATATTGGTCTACACCTTCCAGTACGTACCCCCAAAAGGTCAAAATTCTAAAAGAGAAAAGGATCATCTGATGTTGTTGTGCTAGGTAAGGTATGAAAATGGCCCTCACTAAGGGTCAAAATTTTGATTAATCGCAACGCTTATATAATGTTAAAGAAGAGTCCGATTGTCTTCAAATGTAGCACATCTCAATATTTTTAACAACTTTAAGTGTAGTATAAAGATGGGATTGATCGGAGCAATCGGTAGCTCCCCTACAAAAGGTCAAAATTTTTGAAAAATCATAACTCTTAAAACGATAAAGAAGAGTTCGATTATCTTCAAATTTCGTATGTCCCAATATTTCTAACAACTTTTGTTCTGATATGAAGATGCAATAGATCGAGCCACTCCCTCAATCGCAAAGCTTATAAAATGTTAAAGAGGAGTCCGATTGTTTTCTAATTTGGCACATACCAATAATTCAAACAACTCTAAGTCTAGTAAAAAAATGTATAGATCGGACCACTTCGTCTGGTACCTTCCTCACAAAGGGTCAACTTTTTTATACCCTCCACCATACATAGTATGGAGGGTATATTAAGTTCGTCATTCCGTTTGTAACTCATCGAAATAATCATTTTAGACCCAACAAAGTATATATATTCTTGATCAGCGTAAAATTCTAAGACGATTTAGCCCTGTCCGTCCATCTGTTGTAATCACGCTACAGTCTAAACGAATTAAGACAGGAAGCTAAAATTTTGCACATATCTCTCTTTTGTCTGTAGGCAGGTCAAGTTCGAAGATGGACTATATCGGTCGACGATATCGTATAGCCCCCATATAACGGTACCCTCCGATATTAGGTATTTTGAAGATGTTAGCCACATTTTTTAATGGAATTGTCGGAAAATTCACACAAATTCCTTGTGAATACTTTGCCCCCTGAGAGAGAATTATCTATATCGGTCCACGATATCGTATATCCCCCATATAACTGTACCCCCCGATATTCGGTGTTTTGATGATGTTAGCCACATTTTTCAACGGAATTGTCTGAAAATCCATACAAGGAGTTCCTAATGGGTACTTAATACTGCGGCAGAGAATTATCTATATCGGTGCACGATATCGTATAGCCCCCATATAACGGTACCCCCCATATTCCGTATTTCGATGATATTAGCCACATTTTCAAATCGTATTGTCTGAAAATCCACACAAGAAGTTCTTTGTGAGCACTTTACCCCCTGAAAGGGAATTGGTCCGCAATATCGTATATCCTCCATATAACGGTACCCCCGATATTCAGTAGTTTGATGATTTTAGCCACTTTTTCCAATGGAATTATCTGAAAATCCACACAAGGAGTTTCTTGTGAGTACTTTACACCCAGACATAGATTTGTCTTAATAGGTCCACAATATCATATATGCCCCCATATATCGGCACCTTCCTATATTAGACATTGTAAAGATTTAAAAAAAAATTAATGGATTTTATTTTTTTTTGAAAATTTTCTAATTCTTTCCAAATGGTAAAGGGTATTCAAAGTTCGGCCCGGCCGAACGTACTGCTTTTTTACTTGTTTTGACTATTTTCGATCTGTACATATCTCTATATTTCTACAATCTTATATGAACATCGAATAGATCAGACTACTACTTCTGGCACCCCTTTTACAAGGGGTTAAAAATATCCATCACCATCATAAAATGCAAAATTAGCATTCTTGGCATACCCCAATATTTCCACCAACACAAAATCTGATGTAAATATGGGATTTATTGGGCCACTCCTTTTAATATCTCCCTCTCAAGGAAGTACAATTTTCGAATTAGAGAAATTTTCATTACATTTGAAAAACCATTTCAGGGGGCGGAGGTCCAAGTGTCGAAAGACTCATTGAAGCTTTTTAACTATTTTTTATACCCTACACCACAAGGTGGTCCATGTTTTTTTGTAAACAAAGTACAGGTCGCATTTATAGCCCGATCCATATGAATAAGGACGAACTCTATTGAAATTGGAGATAATCGGTCAAAATTTAGATATAGCTCCCATATATATCTTCGTCCGATTTGCCTTTTATTTAATATCAGCCCGAATTGTATGGAATTTTGCCACCGCCGCCGTAATATGCAATCTGCAACAACAATATTTGGGGAAATATATCAAATACAGCTCAGAAATACATTTACTAAATTTTATCGAGATCGGTTCAGATTTGGATATAGCTCCCATATATAACTTCGTCCGATTTACCTCTTATTGTGCACCAAACGTCTAATATTTGTCCAAATGGGATGGAATTTGGCACTTACGAACGAATAGAGTCTAGAAGCTAGTATGTCAAATTTGGTGAAGATCGCTTCAGATATACCTATAACTTCCATATTTGTTATATTTGTTACCCACAACCGTAATATGCACTCCGTAACAACGATATTCAGGGATATATATCAAATACAGCTCAGAAATATCTTTGCCAAATTTTATCGAGATCGGTTCAGATTTGGATATAGCTCCCATATATATCTTTATCCAATTTCAAATTAATTGTGCACCAAATGGGCAATACAATTCCGAATTTAAAAGATACAAATGCTTCGGCAAATTTAGTCCTTTGAACTTTAAATAATAATTATAATCGTAGCTTGTATGATTGAATTCTCCCATAAAAACTTGTAATTGTTATGTGGAGCTCTACTAAATTAGCAAAGTGGTGTAGGGTATCATAAAATCGGCCCCGCCCGACTTTATGATACCCTACACTCTTTACTGGTTTCTAATTCTATTTAAGTATTACTGTATTATAGCGTGGTAGGGTATCATATAGTCGGCTTGTTTACAAATGGTTTCATAGACTTTCCGGGTTTAAATCATTAGCGAATTTTCAGTATAGCTCTCAAAAGACTCTGGTTTTTATTAATCGCGGGTTTTAGGATTATTATGAAATTCTTCCTGGTTTTTTATAAGTTTAATATTTAAAAAGCTATTCTGGTAAGTATTTTTTAGAAAAAATTGGCAGATTTTTTTTTGAGGATTGCCATGATAAAAATTGAGAATTTTTGTAAAATTATTTTTTGCAAGGTCTTTTAAGACAAAAAACTCAGATGTTTAAGAAATATTAAATGCTGGGAATTTTAGATGTTGGTATCCGGCTCCCTGGTATCATATTTTAAAATGGTGTAGAGGTATATGATAGCATTTGCAATTCAAAACCTAAGTCGCGTTCTCCATGGGTTACAGCCCAAACAAATAAAATTTTTCCCTTACAATTTTTTCCATGAATAAACTGCGTTATTATTTTCGATAAATTTTCCTAGAAATAATAAACTGGATGAACTCATATGCAATCATTTATCACAAATTAGTCAAAAAAACTCTGCCATTATTTCGCTACACCTCAAAAAATGACTAAACCCGGTAGATAAAGCAGCTGCAACAGCAGTCACATCTAGTGGCAGCACAGATTTCTATCGCAATCTACAATTACGTTTTCCTTTTATTATTGCATTATGTTATCTCACTTTTCTTGTTCTTCTTCTTCGCATTATTATCATCCATGTATTTTAAATATACTATTTCATCTATTTTCAGGTACAATTGGATGAAGCTACCGACGCTTGGGGCATTAAAGTGGAACGTGTTGAAATGTAAGTCAGTCAGTCAGTCAGTCATTCCGTCTGTCATTCATTCATTTATTCGTTAGCTTGCTGCTCATTCATAGATTTTAAGTTGGGTTGCACGAGATTCTATTTATGTTTTCTATACAACATTCTCTTGTCCTGGATGCATTTCCTCCGCCAGCCAACCACCCAAACAACCTACCAACGAGTACAATAGACTGGAAGAGATAAGAAATCATTTTTATTCTGTCACCAAGACACGTACTCCATCATGTGTTGTTGTTGTTGTGGCAGTTGTTCTGTTTTTCCTTTATTTCGAGGAAAAATTTTTGTTGATGTTGGCCAAATTCAATGCAGCTACTGTTTTGGTAGATAAAATTACTATTCCTGTTCCGTATGAATTGCTGTGGCAGGTGTACGAATTCTAAAGTGATTTTTTCCTTTCTTTTTTTTCTTTTACTTTTTCTTCGTTGTCGTCTTCGCCTTGTTATTATTTTATATTTTTTTAATGTTTACAAATGATGTCCTTAGAGATGTTTTACTTTCAATGGATTTTCAAGGCAGTAAACCATTTATCAACCACCACAAACAACAGCAACAATAAGAGAAAAAAATGTTATATCTTAAGTATGTGTTTTAAAAGTAATGTTGCAAGGACAAAGGAAAGAGTGTTGTTCAGGTATTGTACCAAAAGGCGTAGGATGGGAAACTGTAAGAAAACTGTATTGGAAAATTATAGATATTTTCATTTAAATCTTAAACATAACATGTAGATTTTTAATAAATCAAGCGAAAGGTCTATGTTTAATATCATTTCGATCGTTTATTTTCAATATCGTATGTAAGAAATTGGACCCTTTTTGTACAGTCATTGGGAATTGGTAGAAACCGGACTTCATAGTCGGAGTCGGACTTTATAAATAGAAGTCAGACAGTTTTCCTGGAGTTTGAGTCGAGAAAAAAATAATTAGACTTTGATTAGATTTTTAACCTTTAATTTACCCATATCGAATGCATTTAATTGAATATCCGGATTTTTAAGCACCAAATAACAACAAAATTGACATTCGTTTGAAACTTTAAGATCTCATTACACTAAAAACGCTTCGCGAGCAGATTTTAATATATTTTCAGGTTTAACAATATACATTTAATACACTTGATTGAGTAAGAACTTAGTAAATATACCTTCAAATCGCTAGGGAGAGGATCTAATATACACAACATTTTAAAGAAAAAATATGAGTTTATTTTCGGAATCGAGTCGGAGACGTTCAAAAAGAAAAAAATAAATAAAATAATAATAATAAACAAGTAAGCAACGGCTATAATCGTGCCGACCATGTGATACCCACAACACTGCAATATGTTAGAAGCCCCCTTATGTTCACATTCATTTCGGAAGATTTCGCTTTTGAAATTATGCCCAGATATTACCCTTAGTATTTTGACCTGGGACATTTGCCCAATAATTACGCACTCCGTCGGTTGTTAGTTGTTGTAGTCCATTTTACAGCAAAAATAATCCAATAGTCATCCAAATTGCTCGACTTATTCCCTGTCCTTAACTCTCTTCTCAGGCGTGTCGATTGGCTTCAATTGTGTGATCGGGAAAACATTTGTTTTTGGTTAATTTGAACCCCTAAATATTTTGCAATCATCTCCAAAAGCACGAAGCCCCTCTGTATCTTAAAATTTGGACTCATCTATATGATTTGCTTGTCTACGATGTTTGGCTATATTCGCCAAAGAAATCAGCATAAAAAGCCAGAAGATCTCCTTTTGTGTATTTTGGATTTCGCCTGCATGTTATTTTCAGCGTTTTGGTAGAATGGAAATGTTGGTATTTTTTCCATAAAAGTAGTTTGTTCTACCCGCTGTCCTAAATTCTAACTTCATGCGAGATTTTGTGTCCTTTGGTTTCTATTTGTGACGTTTAGTTGTTGGTCCATTTCAACCCCTAAATATATTGCGGACATATTTAAAAACAGTAGGCCTAACCCTTCTGAGCCAAACCCTACCCTTACGAAAATTTTCGTGAGGATCGGACGATAATTGCAATCTGTATATAATTTAGATTTTATTCTCTTTTGCTAAGAGGGCATTCTGAATTGACAAAATTTGTCAAAATCGGCCCAGCCCTTCTTGAGATATAAGCATTCTAGCTAACATCCCATTCCTTTGTACATACTTGTATATTTTTCGCTTTGTTATCCGCTATATTCACTATCGGCATCTACGTAACAATCGAACGAACGATGTCCATCCAAATTGGAAGGCTTCTGCCAAGCCCCATGCTAACTTCCGCGTCGATTGGTCTATAATTGCGACCTGTAGAGCAACTGCAAGTCAGGTTTTTTTGAGTTTTTGGACCATTCCAACCCCTAAATATTACGTGATCATCTTCAAAAGCAATAGGCTTCTTTTCTGACCTCCATGCAAAATTGCATGAGGATCGGTCCATAATTTAACTTTTTAACTTGTACCTTCCAAATGGTGGAGTGTATTTAAAGCATGGCCGGCCGAACTTAGATGCTTTTTTAATTGTTTCTTTTTTTTAAATCTCATGTGTCCATATTAAGGTAGCATAAAAATGTGGTCCACCGAGCTATACTTTTTATGATATAGTCTAAGCATGACAATAATGTAATACTATTACCCACCTAAGATCCGGTGCGGAGCTGGGCTATAATGGTGCGTTCCGTTAGATAAATTCCTTTGAGAATAATTCCATAGGGGCCGTCATTATTACTTTTCCTTTTACCTAATGCAAAATTCTTTATATATTAGTTTATTATTGTGATCCGCAAAGCGACTGCAAGCTCAAGAAAAAAAATTGTTTTTAGTCTATTCCCAAAATCCCCAAATTATATTAGCTTATTTTCATTGGCCGCATATAAAAAACCTCAGTACCATAGCTACGACCTGAAGAGTGATTACATTCTAACATGTAAAGATGGACGGCCACATTCCTACATCGACTCAGATCGTCGAAATAGTGGGTCCAGGTCTCATATTTTGAGATATTACAATATTTTTGGCCAAATTAAATTTATAATAATCATACAGTGTTGTGGGACATACATAAGTATATTTAATATAATTGTATTATATATAAATTAATTCATTCAATACAACACTTTAATACAAATTAAGTAATAAAGTACGGCCCAGCCTGGACGACAACAATTTATTTATTTAAATGAATTTCTTCTCAGTCTAATTTAGACATCCGCCGTTCCATCGTGTTCGTTCGCTCACATTACCAGCAGCGATAATGGATAATGTCATGGAATTTGTGTTTGCCGTGACCTCAAACCATTTCACAGTCCACTTTATACAAAATTTAACATAACCACAGGCATTCAAACTGACGACCTTCCTGACCTCATCCCGACAATGTGAAAGCAACTGTGAATAAAGTGCCTAACCCTGTTTGAGTAAATGCGTGCTGGTGGATGGTGGGAATACAGCGGTGTGGCACCGAGTTGCGGAGATGTTTTGGGTGACCCTTTCAACCCAAAGTAACCACTTAGGGCAAGCCAAGCCAAATATGGATGCCAAGTGCAACACAACGAACATCATTCATGCTTTTCCACTGTCAACGTGATGGTGTCGACAGTGGGCGTAAAAGGAAGAAAAATCATGAAAATAGATTTAAAAATAAATTTTATAAATTCAAAATTTACCATAGAGATTTTGTGGATCGACAACACACACAATACATTAAAAGAAAAAAAAAATAAATAAAATTACAATGGTCGCAAGTACTAGAAGGCAACCAACTGCGCATAAAAAGATGTCAACCATTTTTACCTGTCTTCGAACTTTTTCTAATTTGTGGACAATTTTAAAATGATGAATGAATGCATTGATTTAAATATTTTAAACGAAATTTCCAGCAATCATATATGAGGTCTTGCGTACACATATATAAATTAACAAGCAGAATTGAGTGTCGGGAGTGGTTCTATCATTTCCTTAGTTGATACGATTCGAGGTCATTTTCTTCTCCTTCTAGAACACCATTAAGCGTTTATACGAAAAATATTCGACTGGTAAGGCTCTTTCTAATCCGAAGAGGCCATATAAAAGTCGACCAAGGCGATCGGCCGAGAATATCGCTGCCGCACGAGCCAGTGTTGAGAGGTCCCCAAGAACATCCCAAAAACGCCGTTCTCAGCAGTTGGGCATGGCTCGGTCCACATTACAACGGATTATTCCCATTGATTTGCGTTTGTTCCCTGCGGACAAGCCTCGTCGATTGGAATGGGCCCAAAGAGTCATCGAAATGGCCGAAAAAAACATGGGTCCGTTGAATATTGGATCAAATCCGTTTCAGCACATTTGCAGTCGACATAGGGGTGTCCGACCGGCCGTCTGACTAATGCACACCATAACTTTCGAAGGGAGTATCCGATTTGATCCAAACTTAGTACACCATAATATTATGTTCAAACTTAGATGGAGTTCGAAAATGGGCAATTTTCTATGCAGTTCCAGGTCTTTGTATAGCCCCCAGGTCTTTGTATAGCCCTCATATATATCGGTACTTCCCTATATTCGGTATTTGGCTGATCTCAGCGACATTATTGACGGGAAGTGTTTCAAATTTCGTATTCGAAGTTCCTAATGGTTACTACAGCCTATGACAAAGATTTGTCTAACCAGGTCCAGTGGTTTGTAAAGCCGCCATATACAGGACGATATTATTTCAGGGACATTATTCACCCGAATTCGTATTTGAAGTTTTTAATGGGTATTTTAGCCTATGACAGATAATTGTCTATGCAGGACCACGCCTTCGTATAGGCCCATAACCGGCACCTCTCGATATTCGGTATTTTTATGAATTTAGCGATATTATTCGCCGGAATTCTTTCAAATTTGGTTTTTGAAGTTCGTAATGGATACTACAGCCCTATATTCCTATAGAGCCCATATTGAGGTACCTCCCGATATTCAGTATTTCGATGATTTTAGCGACATTATTCACAGGAATTGTTTCAAATCGGGTATTTGAAGTT